GCCTCCCCAGAAGCAGATGCTGCTATGCTTCCTGCACAGCCTGCAGAAACGTGAGCCAATTAAACATCTTTTCTTATAAATTACCCAGTTGCCAGTTTTTTCCTTAAAGCAGCGCACTAACAGCCTAAAACAGTCTGTGAAGGTTGTTCTCAGAAGGTATCGGCCTGCATCAGTGAACTGAGTATCTTAGTCTGTTTGTACTGCTATAAGAAAATACCTGAGACTCAGTAATTTATAAAGAAGAGAAACTTATTTTCTCACAGCTCTGGAGACTTGGAAGTTCAAGATCAAGGTGCTAGCAAGTATGTTGTCTGGTGAGGGACCCTATCTCTGCGTCCAAGATGATGTGTTGCGACTGGCTCCTCCAGAGAGGATGAATGCTGGGGTCCTCACATGGAGGACAGTGGAAGAGCAATACAGGGTGAACTGTCCCTGAAGCCTTCTGGACAGGGTAGTAATTCATTCATGAGGACAGAGCCTGCATATCTTAACTGCTTCCCCAAAGCCCTACTTCTTAGTACCAACCCAATGGGATGAAGTTTCAACATGAATTTCTAGGGGATATGTTCAAATCATAGCATTCTACTCCCAGTCGCCAAAAGCGTATGATCTTATCACACTAAAAATACATACATTCGGCTAGGCGTGGTGGCTCATGCCTATAATCCCAGCACTTTGGGAGGCTGAGGCGGGTGAACCACTTGAGGTCGGGAGTTCGAGACCAGCCTGACCAATGTGGAGAAACCCCATCTCCACTAAAAATACAAAGTTAGCCAGGTGTGGTGGCACATGCCTGTAATCTGTAATCCCAGCTACTCAGGAGGCTGAGGCAGAAGAATTGTTTGAACCCGGCAGGCAGAGGTTGCCGTGAGCCAAGATTGTGCCATTGCACTCCAGCCTGGGCAACAACAGTGAAATTCTGTCCCCGCCCTCCCCCCACAAAAAAACATACCTTCCATCCTGGTAACTCCAAAAGTCTTAACTCATTCCAGCATCAACTTTAAAATCTCAGTCTAAAGTCTTATCTAAACATCACCTACATCAGATCTGAGTGAGACTCAAGGTAATAGTCATCTTGACATCACTGCTCTCCAGCTGTGAACCTACAAAATCAAACAAGCTACACACTTCCAAAATACAGCAGGACAGACATAGGATAGATATTTCCATTCCAAAAGGGAGCGCTAGGAAAGAAAAAAGGGATAGTAGATCCCAGGTAAAACCAAAATCCAACAAGGCAAGCAAAATTAAATCTTGAAACTTGAGAACGATCTGCTTCGACTCCGTGTCCCACCTTCCAGACTCCCTAGGGTGGGCATTGGGCCCCCAGGTCTCCAGGTGCTCCTGCGCCCATGGCTTTGCTGGCTGTAGCTCCCAGGCATTGCAGTCCCATGCCTTTGGCTATCCCAGGCTGGAGCTGCACAGCGGTGTTTCCACTGGTCTGTGGTTGAGGTGGCCCTAACCCCACGGCTCTACTACGCCATGCTTCCATAGCACGTGCTCTGCGTGTGCCTGCCGAGGTCACTCCACAGGGATGCCGCCCAGGCGTATTGCTTGTGCCTCTGGAGGGGCAGCCTGAGCCACACCTGGGCCCATGGGAGCCACAGCTGAGGCAGTGGAGGGAGGAGTGCTGCACTGGAATGCAGGGAGCGGAGACTTGAGGCAGAAGTGGGCACTGAGGTCCAAGATCCTATAGGCGCCCAGGGACCCTCCAGAGCCTTGGGTTCCTCCCTTGATTCTGTGCTGCCCTCAAGGCCCTAGAACTGCGAGTCTGTGACAGGCATGGCAGCCTGGAGATCTTTAAGATGCCTTCAGGGTCCTTCTTCCATTGTCTTGGGGAATAGCACCTGACTTCCCTCTATCCCCACAAATTTATCAAATGGTCACTGGGCAACACACTTTGTTTTCTCTCCTAAGCATGTTTTCGGGGGGTAAATCAGGAGTCACCTCCCAATTGGCTTTCCTGACTCTGAGGCTTTCACACTTAGACTGCACTGCACAGCCGAGTTCCCTGGTCCCCAGCTTGCAGATGGCCTATTGTGGGAATGTTCAGCCTCTGTAATCATGTGAGCCAGTTCCCGTAATAAAGCCCCTCTGACGTTATCTGTACCTGTAATGACCCTATTTCTATCCTATTGGCTCTGTTTACCTGAAGATCCCTAACATAGCTTTTGGTATCAGGGGTGATTGTAGAGAAACAGAATCTTAAGAATGAGTTTTCTAAATTTGTGTTGTGTTTTTTTGGAACTGGCCTAACATGACTTGAATTAAAAGTGCAAAGAATTCTACTTCCGATAGTACACAGAACACGGATAGGCCATGGTGTGAACAGTTTATGAAAATGCGCAAATTTCTGCATGGTGTACTCCTAGTGAACCACTTACAAGAGGCAAGGAGCCTACTGACTCTGCATATGATATTTTCTAACGTTTGTGGAAAACCAGGGAATGTAGTGATGTAGGCTGGTTACCAGCTGATTGATTGCTGGACAAAGTGATGAAATCAAGGATGTGCTCGTGATTCACATGCCCAGTCCAGCTCTGTATAAATAACCTATGAGTGGCTGAGTGAACCCTGACAGAGAATCTCCCTTCCGGTACCCCTGGGGCTGAGACTGCTGAAAAGCAAACACAAGTCCTTATCATAAAACTGGATGAATTATGAAGCAAGTTGAACTCTCAGTCTCTCAGGGTGTCCACTATTAGAGTCAGAGCATTGACTGGGAAACAGGGGATCCTGTAAATCGGGATGGAGACACATGAAAGGACCCTGGTGAAGCTGGGGACAGTGAGTCCCTAAGTCAAGATGAGTCATTTTGTCAGCAGAAACAGTCTCCATGCACCCAGTGGCAGTGTTAGACCCATCCCCAGTGCTACACCCACCCCCAGTGCTACACCCATCCCCCATGCTACACACACCCCAGTGCTACACTCGCCTCCCTGTGCTACACCCACCCCCAGTGCTACACACACCCCAGTGCTACACCCACCCCAGTGCTACACCC